CCTCCCGGTAGTGAATGATTCACCTTCCCGGTAGTGAGTGATTCACTTCCCGGTAGTGAGTGATTCACTTCCCGGTAATGAGTGATTCACCTCCCGGTAGTGAGTGATTCACCTCCCGGTAGTGAGTGATTCACCTCCCGGTAGTGAATGATTCACCTCCCGGTAGTGAGTGATTCACCTCCCGGTAGTGAATGATTCACCTCCCGGTAGTGAGTGATTCACCTCCCGGTAGTGAGTGATTCACCTCCCGGTAGTGAGTGATTCACTCCCGGTAGTGAGTGATTTCACACTCCCGGTAGTGAATGATTCACCTTCCCGGTAGTGAGTGATTCACTTCCCGGTAGTGAGTGATTCACTTCCCGGTAATGAGTGATTCACCTCCCGGTAGTGAGTGATTCACCTCCCGGTAGTGAATGATTCACCTTCCCGGTAGTGAGTGATTCACTTCCCGGTAGTGAGTGATTCACTTCCCGGTAATGAGTGATTCACCTCCCGGTAGTGAATGATTCACCTTCCCGGTAGTGAATGATTCACTTCCCCGGTAGTGAATGATTCACTTCCCGGTAGTGAGTGATAGGTAGACGATGAGTCCCAATAACGTGGCTGAAGATATGAGAACCATACCACACACCAGGGCCCAGATTCACTAAAACACTTACGCAAGTACTTACGAACGTGTACATCTTTCCTCAATCTTTGACGGCTTTGGTTACATTTATTAAACAGTTTACAAGCATGAAAACTTCCCATTCAACTGTTGTTATTGTTATAAACAGCCTCCTTGTGCTTCCGAGCTCATTAACTGTTTAATAATTGGAAACAAAGCCGTCAAAGATTGAGAAAAGATGTACAGGTTCGTAAGTGTTTGCGTAAGTGCTTTCGTGAATCTGGCCCCAGAACCATTTTGAACCGACGACCTTTCGGTCCATCCTGGAGCGAAAGGTCTTGAGTGATCTTCTCTCAGGTTATCTTGAGATGATTTCGGGGCTTTTTAGTGTCCCCGCGGCCCGGTCCTCGACCAGGCCTCCACCCCCAAGAAGCAGCCCGTGACAGCTGACTAACATCCAGGTACCTATTTTACTGCTAGGTAACAGGGGCATAGGGTGAAAGAAACTCTGCCCATTGTTTCTCGCCGGCGCCTGGGATCGAACCCAGGACCACAGGATTACAAGTCCAGCGTGCTGTCCGCTCGGCCGACCGGCTCCCTGATAGGTACAGGTGAGGGTGGGATACCTACAGCTGGAGGGACGGCGGCTCATGCAGGTCCCAGTAGGTCACTCTGAAGGGATACATTATAATACAGATACAAGTGGCTACGACATCGATTCATATTTACGTATCCCGTGTTCGATCCCCGCGGAAGGACAAAAGCATTTGGGAAACGTTTCATTTCGTCTAATGCCGCTGTTTGACAAGCAGTAAAATATGTGACTGAGAGTTAGACAGCTGCTATACGACGCATCCTGGAATAGCCTGTAATTGGCATGATAGATACGGTAGAGGTAATAGATCAGACGTCATTGCATTAGACAATCGTCGGCAGGAAAGGCGGAGGCCAAGAGCTAAAAGCTCGATCCTGTAGATACAAATAGGTGAGAGGACTATGGACCCGCCCCTCACCTCCACTTCTCTTCACTGTTGACACATTGGAAATCAATGTTTTTGTTGATACCAGAGCAAGGTGATCCCCGACGCCCTCCCGCTCTCTCCTTCCTCAGTGCCCCGTCACCACACTAACAGCCCCATCCTCACACTAACAGCCCCATCCTCACACTAACAGCCCCATCCTCACACTAACAGCCCCGTCACCACACTAACGGACCCATCCTCGCACTGTCTAACACCCCGATCACAGGCCACTCCAGGCCGCTACTCGATCCCCACGTCACGCACCTCTCGTGAACGCCCTCCAGGCTTGAGGCGAGACAGAGGAAGAGAGAGACGAAGAGAAAAGGGCGATGGGGTGAAAGTGTAAAAGATAGGTACATAGGTTTCAACCTCCTGCCTCTCTCTCTCTCTCTCTCTCTCTCTCTCTCTCTCTCTCTCTCTCTCCAGATCGTGGGCGGCCGCTGGAGGTCCATTCTCCGTCTACCCAAGTTGGAAGCCCGGTATTGTAAGCAAGCAACGAGGGGTACCTAACAGTGACCGCTTATTTCCCAAATGAATGTTTACAGGCCGCTTAACATAAAGTTTAGACACTAACAATAAAATAACGTGACTCAAACTCCCACGCCCAACCCATACATCTGTACTATAAGTGAATGTCTGTGTCTGTTCGATACTGTAAGCCACACATCTGGGACCCCACACCCCCACACCCCCTCACACCCCCCCACACCACCCCACACCCCCTCACACCACATACTGACACTGACACTCTATTGCCCACCAAGATAGAACCTGAACAAATCCACAAGAGCCGTGATGAGGGTTCGACCCCTCATCACGGCTCTTGTGGATTTTCTCATTTGATGCATCATGCTTTTGTGATTTCTATATGTAAGGTAGAACCTTTTTTGGTCTCAAGAAAATAGATGAACTGGCAAGACGTCTGCAGGTGTGATTCCAACGACTGGGGTTAGCATGACCAATTTGGGTGATGCTAACCAATTAACTGATGCTATCCCCAGTCGTTCAGATCACACACGCGGGCTTCTTGCGAGTTTATCTATTTTCTTGAGACTAAAATGGGTTCTATCTTGGTTGAGCATTCGAGTGTCAGTCACACACAATTTGCTGATAGGTCCTCTGACCCGTGACGGAGGGAGGTCAGAGGGTGTGACCTGGGAGGTCAGAGGGTGTGACCTGGGAGTGTGTGTGAAATGTTAGACACAGCTAATTCACCACTTCGGTAAATTAGTGCCGGAACTGTAGGATTAACTCCCCCCTCCCGCTCCACCACACACACACACTAAGAAAAAGTAGTTAGTAAACAGTTGATTGACAGTTGAGAGGCGGGCCGAAAGAGCAAAGCTCAACCCCTGCAAACACAACTAGGTGAATACAACTAGGTGAATACACTCACACGCGCACGGCTGGTGGGTGAGTGGACAACGCTCTACACTCGAGGACCTAGGGACCGGGGTTCGATCCCCGGCACCGCCGGAAAAAACAATGGGCAGAGTTTCCTTCACCCTGATGCACCTGTTACGTATCAGTAAACAGGTTCCTGGGAATTAGACAGCTGTTACGGGCTGCTTCCTGGGGATGTGTGTGTGTGTGTGTGTGTGTGTGTGTGTGTGTGTGTGTGTGTGTGTGTGTGTGTGTGTGTGTGTGTGTGTGCGCACGCGCGCGTGTGTGTGTGTGTGGAAAAAAAGTTAGTTAGTAGTTAGTAACAGTTGATTGATTGACAGTTGAGAGTCGGGCCGAAAGTGCAGAGCTCAACCTCCGCAAGTACAACTAGGTGAATACACACACGCACGCACGCACACGGAGATGCGAACACACTCACGTACACATATGTAAACATTACGAAGCTCGAGGAGGATGATAATGATGTAATTAATATTAATTAGGAGAGGGCCTCACGTACAGGCCCAGGTCAACACCTCCCTGGATAGTGACCCCCAGGACTTTTGATCCTGGGGAGGACGCCCCCCCCCACACCGCCACCAGTGGGGGACGCCCCCCCCTCCCACACCGCCACCAGTGGGGGACGCCCTCCCCCCCCCTCCAATACCAGTGCTCCTCAAAATAACAACTCAAGGAGCACCATCCTTCAAAATATCCTTCAGTGCTCCTCAAAATAACAGCACAAGGAGCTTCACAGTCAACAGTCACTGGCTACAGTGACAAGACCTACTCACCTTCCTCACCTACACAGAGGATTAAGACAGAGGAGGACTGCTTGAGGCTTCAAGAAGACCTGGACAAGCTGCAGGAATGGTCGAACTAATGGTTGTTTGAGTTTAACCCAAGCAAATGTAATGTAATGAAGATAGGTGTAGGGAGCAGGAGGCCAGATAATAAGTATCATCTGGGAGATGAAATTCTTCAAGAGTCAGAGAGAAAAAACTTGGGGATTGACATCACGCCAGACCTGTCCCTTGCAGCCCATATCAAGAGGATAACATCAGCGGCATATGCTAGGCTGGCCAACATAAGAACGGCATTCAGAAATTTGTGTAAGGAATCATTCAGAACTTTGTATACCACATATGTCAGACCAATCCTGGAGTATGCAGCTCCAGCATGGAGTCCATATCTAGTCAATCATAAGACTAAACTGGAAAAGGTTCAAAGGTTTGCCACCAGACTAGTACCCGAGCTGAGAGGTATGAGCTACGAGGAGAGACTGCGAGAATTAAACCTCACTTCGCTGGAAGACAGAAGAGTTAGGGGGGACATGATTACCACATTCAAGATTCTCAAGGGAATTGATAGGGTAGATAAAGACAGGCTATTTAACACAAGGGGGCACACGCACTAGGGGACACAGGTGGAAACTGAGTGCCCAAATGAGCCACAGAGATAATAGAAAGAACTTTTTTAGTGTCAGAGTGGTTGACAAATGGAATGCATTAGGCAGTGATGTGGTGGAGGCTGACTCCATACACAGTTTCTAGTGTAGATATGATAGAGCCCAATAGGCTCAGGAACCTGTACACCTGTTGATTGACAGTTGAGAGGCGGGACCAAAGAGCCAGAGCTCAACCCCCGCGAGCACAATTAGGCGAGAACAATTAGGTGAGTACAGTCGTCATACTCACCCCCCCCCCCCCTCCCAGGTGGGCTGGCTCCCCCCCACCCCCGCTACGCCTGTCCAGAAAATACATATCACTAAAGACATGTCATTGCCGTCACAGGAGACCTTTTGGGTATCAGATGAATGCACACAGGCGGTGGGCAGGCGGGTAGGGGGGCGGGGGGGGGGGGGTAGGCGTTCGAGAGGTGGGCAGGCGGGGGGCGGTGGGGGGGAGTATGGTGGGTGGGCATGTAGACATAGCCCCAAGCAGGAACAGCACTCAACAGGATTAAAAATTGCAAATTACCATCATAGGTTACGAAGAATAGGAGCGTACTGCGCAGAGGGCGGCCTCCCGGTGGACGGGTGGGCCGGGCGGCCTCCCGGTGGACGGGTGGGCCGGGCGGCCTCCCGGTGGACGGGTGGGCCGGGCGGCCTCCCGGTGGACGGGTGGGCCGGGCGGCCTCCCGGTGGACGGGTGGGCCGGGCGGCCTCCCGGTGGACGGGTGGGCCGGGCGGCCTCCCGGTGGACGGGTGGGCCGGGCGGCCTCCCGGTGGACGGGTGGGCCGGGCGGCCTCCCGGTGGACGGGTGGGCCGGGCGGCCTCCCGGTGGACGGGTGGGCCGGGCGGCCTCCCGGTGGACGGGTGGGCCGGGCGGCCTCCCGGTGGACGGGTGGGCCGGACGGCCTCCCGGTGGACGGGTGGGCCAAGATCACCCATCACCGTACAGAGGACAGACAGGTAGCGGTGCACAACAAACTTCTCCCCCACCGGCCGGCTGCTGCCCCTCCAAATTATACAATATATCTAATTATTCCCCGCACTGCTAATTGCCAGGATTTGTTCACACACGTGACTCACAAACATGCTGTAACGCGTAAATATTAAATATATTTAAAGATAGATACTCTGGTCTAAACATTAGTCACAGAGTTTGTTACCTGATGAGTTAGACCAGATTGTGACATCCAGTATCACTGTCACCATCTTCCTAACAGTTTCCATCACTATCACTACCTTCCTAACAGTTTCCATCACTGTCACCATCTTCCTAACAGTCTCCATCACTGTCGCCATCTTCCTAACAGTCTCCATCACTGTCACCATCTTCCTAACAGTCTCCATCACTGTCACCATCTTCCTAACAGTCTCCATCACTGTCGCCATCTTCCTAACAGTCTCCATCACTGTCACCATCTTCCTAACAGTTTCCATCACTGTCACCATCTTCCTAACAGTCTCCATCACTGTCACCATCTTCCTAACAGTCTCCATCACTGTCGCCATCTTCCTAACAGTCTCCATCACTGTCACCATCTTCCTAACAGTCTCCATCACTGTCACCATCTTCCTAACAGTCTCCATCACTGTCGCCATCTTCCTAACAGTCTTCATCACTGTCACCATCTTCCTAACAGTCTCCATCACTGTCACCACCTTCCTAACAGTCTCCATCACTGTCACCACCTTCCTAACAGTCTCCATCACTGTCACCATCTTCCTAACAGTCTCCATCACTGTCACCACCTTCCTAACAGTCTCCATCACTGTCACCACCTTCCTAACAGTCTTCACCTTCATTGCAAAGTCATTAACCTCTCCTTCACCGCCCTTGATAAATCTTAGTGAGGACCGAATCTGATTATTTAGCGAAGTCAGGCGCCGAGGGGTCAACCTGTCCCTCCAATGACCATCCCCCAACACCCCACCAGTCATCCTGCAAATTCTGGCATGGCTAGCCGCAAGCGTCGTTCATAATCAACCCATTATAGAGTGCTTATATGCACCTTTCGTGCATAGTTATTGATCTGGGGCCAGATTCACGAAAGCACTTACGCAAGCACTTAGGAACGTGTACATCTTTCCTCAATTTTTGACGGCTTTGGTTACATTTATTAAACAGTTTACAAGCATGAAAACTTCCCATTCAACTGTTGTTATTGTTATAAACAGCCTCCTGGTGCTTCAGAGCTCATTAACTGTTTAATAATTGGAAACAAAGCCGCCAAAGATTGAGAAAAGATGTACAGGTTCGTAAGTGCTTGCGTAACTGCTTCGTGAATCTGGCCCCTAGCTTATAACAACTGATAAGCAACTCTATATGTCAAAAGTTAAGATGGTAATATTCCTAAGAGGTTAAAACAAGTTTACACAAGAGACACTGTAAAAACCCAATTAAGTTGAAAGTCTTCCAATGTTTAATGACCAAAAGACACTAGAGTACTTGAATAAAACACCACCATCTGTACTGTGGCAAGTGAGCTGGAACGGCATAAAATTTACGTAGGTGTTTTAACGTGTCCCCTGAGAGGCGGCGGCGGAGGTAATCTCTCTCACACCCCGGCCTGGGCGTCCCCCGAGGCCCCCAGCTCCGCTAAACTCACCCACTTATGATGGGGGGGCGGTAATGGGTCGAGGGCATGACATTAGTCTCCTACTGACGATACCAACAGCTGCCTCGTGATTCGTTAATGATCACTACGAAAACCTGGACGCTAAGACACGTAGCGTCCAGGTACCGTTCAGGTACACGTTACTTGAACACGGAACGGCTTTTCATTTCTTGTAGGCGCGTACACGAAGCTACACGTACGTACATACAACGTACACGTATGTACATACGCTACACGTACATACAGCTACACGTACGTACACGTACACGTACACGAAGCTGGAGAGGTACAGGTGAGGGTGAAGTAACTAGTAACTAGGATGAGGAAGTGTTAAGGCAGTGCGGCTATAGAGCACCTGGATTGGTGGGTACAGCGGAGGTATCCCGTCTTGCAGGTTACTGCCAGTGCCCCGACGGTAACCTGCATGTAACCCTACCTACCGACAGATAGGTAGGTAGGTAGGTAGGTAGGTACGAAGGTAGGAAGGTAGGTAGGTAGGTAGGTAGGTAGGTAGGTAGGTAGGTAGGTAGGTAGGTAGGTAGGTAGGTAGGTAAGGAACGAAGGGGTCAGGTTGAGGTATAAGTAGGTAGCCTGGAGGCCAAGGCAGTCTAGCTTTAAGGAAGGAGGCCCCGCGTCTCGGGGTGCTGGACTTCGACAGGTAAGCTTCATAAACACTCAGTATGCAAATTAGGGCGTGGTGGAGGTGTGGGTTGGGGGAGGGGGGGGGCGGGTCACGTGGGCAGGTGGTGGGGGTGGGAGGGGAAGCGAAGATGGGGAGGAAGAACCTACTGGTAAAGATTCGAAAATGGAGTCGCTAAGGTGTGGCCGCAAGCGGGCTAAGGGATGGTGCTTGGGGGGGGGGGGTAGGGGGCTGAGGGATGGTGCTTGGGGGGGGTAGGGGGCTGAGGGATGGTGCTTGGGGGGGGGGTAGGGGGCTGAGGGATGGTGCTGAGGGGGGGAAGGGAGCTGAGAGGGGTAGGGGGGGTGAGGGGGTGATGGTGGGGGGCGGGGAGCTTGGTTCACCATCTTCTACATTTTTATGGGGAACAGTGTCGAATGCCTTCTAATAGTCTCGAAAAACACAGTCTACCCAGCCTTCCTTTTCCTAGCTTATTTTAGTAACGTCATAAAACTCAATTTAGTCACTTCTAGCTCCCTCAGGATATTTTGTCCACCTCTTTCACAGTAACTACAATGCCATCCAGTATTTCCTCCAGCCTTTCATCGTGCAACCTTGGTCTTCACGCTGGTTCAATTGTAAAGACCTCTTGAAATCTTTCGTAGAATTCCTTCCATTCCTCTTGATCATTCTCTGCGAGAGCTCCTCCTTGTTTCCTCAGTCTGAGTACCTGGGTACTGAGTACATGTTACATCGTCATTTTTCTTCTTGTATGACTGTAGAACAGCTTTGGTTGTTCCTTAGCTTTTGCAGCAATGTCATTTCAGGATGAACGAGGTCCTTCCCCGAGCCAGGATGAACGAGGTCGTCCACGAGCCAGGATGAACGAGGTCCTCCCCGAGCCAGGATGAACGAGGTCCTCCCCGAGCCAGGATGAACGAGGTCCTCCCCGGGGTGGAGGCCACTAACGAGGCTGAGAGCCGCCGGCGGGGTGACAAGAAGCGGCCGACTCACTCAGCGGGAAGATAAATGCTGATAGCGACGGGCCCCGCCACTCAGGTATGAACTAACACCGCAGGTGTGCCGCTGGTGTGCCGCAGGTGTGCCGCTGCTCGACTGGAGACAAATATGAAGACTTACCGGACATAATGGCAGACGAGACGCGTCCAAATCTTCATGAGTTCGGAGTTGCGTGACGCAGGAGCCCCGGGGGGCGGCGCCCCCTGGGACCACACACACGTCACGGGTGGACGGTGAGACCAACCCTCAGGTGACGCATACTGTCCCACATAACACGTCCCATTTTTAACGGAATCGACCAATCGGTTTCTAATGCGACGTTTAGTAAATAAATTAAGTAGCGTTATATTGACACTTTCAAGGCCTCGGCCTGGATTGTTTAGGGATGATTTGTACGTTTCTGGTGGCGCAAAACAGTTGTATTTTTTACGTTTCTGGTGGAGCAAAACTGTTGTATTTTTTACGTTTCTGGTGGAGCAAAACTGTTGTATTTTTTACGTTTCTGGTGGAGCAAAACTGTTGTATTTTTTACGTTTCTGGTGGAGCAAAACTGTTGTATTTTTTTTTACGTTTCTGGTGGAGCAAAACAGTTGTATTTTTTACGTTTCTGGTGGAGCCAAACTGTTGTGTTTTTAACGTTTCTGGTGAAGCAAAACTGTTGTGTTTTTAACGTTTCTGGTGGAGCAAAACAGTTGTGTTTTTTACGTTTCTGGTGGAGCAAAACTGTTGTGTTTTTAACGTTTCTGGTGGAGCAAAACAGTTGTGTTTTTTACGTTTCTGGTGGAGCAAAACAGTTGTGTTTTTTACGTTTCTGGTGGAGCAAAACTGTTGTGTTTTTAACGTTTCTGATGGAACAAAACAGTTACATTTCGTACGGAATGGCGAATCGAGAGAACGAAAGGAGATAATATAAGGGGAAAATGCCAAGCCATTACGACTATATTGCACTGGGAAGGGGGTCAGGATAAGGATTGGGGATGGGACAGGGGGGAAGGAATGGTGCGCAACCACTAGGACGGTCGGGGATTGAACGCTGACCTGCATAAAGCGAGACCATCGCTCTACCGTCCTGCCTAAGTGACAGAGCATCGAGGAAACGAGTCACGAATCACCGACTAGCCAATCACACTCATTTGACCAACAAGGCCTCCTAGTACGGCTTGTTCTATGCCAAATAAACAATTGTAAATCAATAAAAAAAACTCACTTACTAGTAAGTAGTAAAAATCAACACGTTAGTCGTGCAAAAAAACAAAGGATGACTTATTTTTATTGGGATTAGTTCTTCCAAATCCCCGCCAGTGTTACTGGTCGTGTGATCTTAGTGTCCAGAACAATAACATCTTTGGTGAGAGGTTTAATCTCCCTGTCACACTAGTAATCCTCATTTAACCTCTATCGTGTTCAGTCTGTTCAACACCGGTGTTCATTCAGTGAACACCAGTCTAGGAACGTTCCATAGTGTCACTAGAACTTATCTAGCATAGTGTGTCTCTGCTAGTTATCGTACCAAAGTGTTAATACCACTAGTTAGTACCCATATTAACAGTTAAAATAATTGTTTTTTTTTAAACATACGACAACAATTATGAAAAATCAATTTATAATATAAAATGTCGTAATAATCTCCAGTCCGATCATTGTAAAATCCAATTCCGTTCTTTTCCAGATATGAGCAATTCCATTCC